AAAGAGACCTCATGGGCCATCCAGTCCAACCCCCCTGCCAAGAAGCAGGAATATTGCATTCAAATCACCCCTGACAGATGGCCATCCAGCCTCTGTTTAAAAGCTTCCAAAGAAGGAGCCTCCACCACACTCCGGGGCAGAGAGTTCCACTGCTGAATGGCTCTCACAGTCAGGAAGTTCTTCCTCATGTTCAGATGGAATCTCCTCTCTTGTAGTTTGAAGCCATTGTTCCGCATCCTAGTCTCCAAGGAAGCAGAAAACAAGCTTGCTCCCTCCTCCCTGTGGCTTCCTCTCACATATTTATACATGGCTATCATATCTCCTCTGAGCCTTCTCTTCTTCAGGCTAAACATGCCCAGCTCCTTAAGTCGCTCCTCATAGGGCTTGTTCTCCAGACCCTTGATCATCCGCCAGGAAGTAGCAACCAATCGTGAAAGGACCAAAGCAGTGACATCTCCGGCCCATCCTCTGTTTGGATATCAGCCAGCACACCAATGCCTTAAATTTAGAAATAGTTTTCTAAGATCTGCAGAGATAATTACAGGAACATCTCAGCAAGTGAGAGTCCCAAAGTGGCAGGCTTTCCATCCCACTCCTGGCATCAAAGTCCTTGCTGTAGTCATTTTCCTTGCATGACTGTTGGAAACTGAATAGATCTCCTTTGCCTGATCTGGCTGTAAAGATTTCCTTTAAATACAAAAATTAAATGGCTATTGTGACTAAATGGTGACCATGCTGACTGTGTTCTTTGCAAAAACAAATGAGTCACCATCCTGAAGGCAGCTGCCTGGCAGCCTTCTGGAGAGGGTGGTCTTTGCCCAAAGCAGGAAAGGGAACTTTTCAAGAGTGAGACAGCGATAGCCACAGCCACCTTCTTCTTGGGGAAAATGATACTTGGGTTGCTTTCACAATATGCTAGGGGTACTATGTATCCCCTCTCTCCCTTTTCAGAACTAAATTTTCTATCAGTGGGCTTAAAAAAACTCATTTGATTTTCTTAGTCTTCCCTACCACTTCTGAAACTTGGAAGACAATTACCATTTCAAATTCCTGGGGGAAAGGAAATCCCCAAAAGAGAACATTTTATCACTAGACATGGCCAGGATTATAACTTGCAAAATTTAATGGCATCACCCTGTGCAAATAAGATTCAAGGCAGGAGAAGAAAAAGAGATGATGAAGGCTATGGCAAAGATGTAGCTATTGCATGAACGTTATCTGTCCTTATGAACCATCTAGGACTTTAAAATCGTCTGGGGAGACCCTGCTCTCGATCCCGCCTTCCTCGCAGATGTGTTTGGTGGGGACAAGAGACAGGGCCTTCTCAGTGGTGGCCCCTCAGCTATGGAACACCCTCCCCAGTGATATAAGATCAGCTCCCTCCCTTCTAACATTCCACAAAATGGTTAAGACCTGGCTCCTCAAGAAGGCTTTTTCTACTGGAGCATAATTAGATGTAAACAAATATATGGAATGACTGACGATGCAACTGGATAACAATTTTAGTAAGGAGATGCCGAGGATTTTGTTTTTACAGATATATTTGCTTTTTATGTTACATTTTAAATGTTGAATTGTTTTTATAATTGTTTTAACTGTATTTTGATATTTGTTATGGCATCAAATCGCTGCCGACTGTGAACCGCCTTGAGTCGCCTCTGGCTGAGAAAGGCGGTATACAAATGCAGTAAATAAATGAATAAATAAATAAGGTATGGAGCACTTGTGGGCTTCTTATTGACAAGATATTGACAAGTTGGAATGTGTTCAGAGGAGGGTGACTAAAATGATCAAGGGTCTGGAGAACAAGCCCTATGAGGAGCGGCTTAAGGAGCTGGGCATGTTTAGCCTGAAGAAGAGAAGGCTGAGAGGAGATATGATAGCCATGTATAAATATGTGAGAGGAAGCCACAGGGAGGAGGGAGCAAGCTTGTTTTCTGCTTCATTGGAGACTAGGACGCAGAACAATGGCTTCAAACTACAAGAGAGGAGATTTCATCTGAACATGAGGAAGAACTTCCTGATTGTGAGAGCTGTTCAGCAGTGGAACTCTCTGCCCCGGAGTGTGGTGGAGGCTCCTTCTTTGGAAGCTTTTAAACAAAGGCTGGATGGCCATCTGTCAGGGGTGATTTGAATGCAATATTCCTGCTTCTTGGCAGAATGGGGTTGGACTGGATGGCCCATGAGGTCTCTTCCAAATCTTTGATTCTATGATTCTATGATTCCCACTCCCTTCAGAAATGCATGGCTGGAATTCACTAAGGAAGGTATAACCTAGAATTATGCAATTATGACTGGTTCATATTCATAATCACTACTTTAGGGAAGAGGCAGAGATTGTGAAAGTCCTCCAGTCAACAATTACTGGGCAGCAGCAGCTGATGAGAGCAACAGTGGTCTGTTTTTCTGTTGCTCAGGAAGAAACAAACTAAAGTTTCCACTCTAGTTCCCACAAGCGATCCCAAATTGTGACAAAAAGACTGCTTTTGACCTTTGCACTGCAGATTATTCATGTCAGAGTGGTGGGTGAGAATATGAATAGACTGCTTCCAGATGGACAGGGGAATAGACCTCTGTTGCTCCCATCGGCTGCTGTCCAGTAAGTGAGGATGTAACGTTATGTTTGTAATGTTAGCTCTTGAATACTACTAGCTATCCCCTGCCACGCATTGCTGTGGCCCAGTCTGTTGATCTGGAAAATAAAATATTGATCTGGAACATGCAATATATCATTGTCCTTCTTTAAGGGTCCCTTTCAAATCTATGATATTATATCTGTGTATGAATCATATCTATCTATCTATCTATCTCTCTATCTCTATGGCTGGATGGCTCTTTGTCAGGAGGGCTTTGATTGAGTTTTCTTGCCCTGATGAAGGGAGTTGGACTGGATGGCCTTAAGTATTTTCTATTGGTCATGGGGATTCTGGGTGGGGGGTTTGCCCCGATTCTGTTGTTCATGGGGTTCAGAATGCTCTTTGATTGTAGTGTACTATAAATCCCAGCAACTACAACTCCCAAATGTCAAGGCCTATTTCCCCCAAACTCCCATCTGTGTTCATATTTGGGCGTATTGAGTGTTTGTGCCAAGTTTGGTCCAGATCCATCATTGTTTGAGTCCACAGTGCTCTCTGGATGTAGGTGAACTACAACTCCCAAACTCAAGGTCAATGCCCACCAAACCCTTCCAATATTTTCTGTTGGTCATGGGGGTTCTGTGTCGGATGTTTGCCCCGATTCTGTTGTTCGCAGGGTTCAGAATGCTCCTTGATTGTAGGTGAACTATAAATCCCAGTGACTACAACTCCCAAATGTCAAGGTCTATTTTCCCCCAGACTCCATCTATGTTCATAATTGGGCGTATTGATTGCTTCTGCCAAGTTTGGTCCAGATCCACCATTGTTTGAGTTCACAGTGCTCTCTAGATGTAGGTGAACTACAACTCCCAAACTCAAGGTCAATGCCCACCAAACCTTTCCAGTATTTTCTGTTGGTCATGGGAGTTCTGTGTGCCAAGTTTGGTTCAATTCCATCGTTGATGCAGTTGAGAATGCTCTTTGATTGTAGGTGAACTATAAATCCCAGCAACTACAACTCCCAAATGACAAAATCATAATTTTTTGAGTGATGGTCACTCCTTGTGTTGTGAGACGTTTTGTTGCCAAATTTGGTGTGATTTCGTTCATTGGTTCTTTTGTTTTTAAGGTACTCACTATGCACAGAGCATTTTTATATTTATATAGATTTCAGTATTTCATCGTTACCCCCATCCTCTAGTTACATATCCTGCTATTTTTTTAATTTATTCATTCAACATTTTGGCACACAGTTCCACACAGAACATTTTTATTAATCTATACAAATACAAAGTGTTTTTTCCTTTCAGTTATGGCTGGAATTCTGCATCAGCTTATACTTAACAAACTACATATCTGAGTAACATTTCCTAACTTGGCTGCTTCCAACTTGATGGAAACACCATCCAAACATTCTTGATCATTGGCAGAATGGCTCTCTTTCTCACCTCACTATTGATGCCCAGCAAAGTAAGTTGGGGAGCAGGTTAGTATTGTGTTTAAATCATGACTAAATAGTGATTGTGAATATGAAACAGTTATGGTTAGGCAACTTCCATATTCTTAATCACCATGTAGTCAAAATTTTGACTACAGTTGTGGGTTTCATTTTTCTGGATTTGATTATTCATAGATTTGATCAACATGTTCTCTCTAGGAATCTCTAGGTCAGGCATGGACAAACTTCCACTGCCCAGGTGTTTTGTACTTACAGAATTCCTAGCAGACTACCGGTTGTTAGGAATTGTGGGAGTTGAAGTCCAAAATGCCTGGGGGATTGAAGTTTACCCATGTCTGCTCTAGATACTTTCACCAGAGGTTAACCACAGATCTCTGCTGGAAGACCTTGAGATACTTGAAGAAAACATATTTCTAGGCAGTCCTAGCTTCTCCAATGTGACTATGGCAGTGGTTTTGGGACCTGTGGGTTTACCAGAAATAGAGGGTCGACTTCTTCCGTGACGGCTTCAGAAAACTTGTTCATCATTGGAAGAAATGTATCCAATTGTCTGGTGATTATGTGGAAAAGTGAATAGTGGTAGTTAAAGAGCGCATTCTAAGGATTATTTCTGCGTTTGATTTATTAAAATATTCCCATCCAAACCCAAATAACGAAGGTGGAGGCACTACTTTTCATTCAACCCTCGTACTATGCTGGAGGCTTTTCAGGTACAAGACCACATTAACATCAGAAGGTGGCCCCGAGCTCTTAAAAATCTTTTCCAAAATCTGTTGCAAATGGGAGAATCCCTTTGGGGCGGGGGTTGGGGGGCAGTAGTCAATCTCCATTCTCACAAAATGCTATTCTCGAAATTTAGAAGCACCCTTTTCCTGGTGGAAGGAGCTTTCCATGATCAGATGCAAGCTGCCACCTCCAGTAGAAGAGCATTTGAACTTCAACCATAGTCCTTTCTGCATCTTCCATTTCCTCAGGTGAGCAGCTTGTCCATGATGGGACTGGTGAAGGAAAAATCACTGAACATGTTTTGGTCCATGCTGTTGATGAGAGTCCGGTCTCCCAGCGACAGCCGGGGCTTCTCGTTCAGAAATTCCTTGTCAAAGTTGCTGCAGTCGCCCGGGGATTTCTTTCAGAAGAAGAGAGAAATTGGAGTTAGGAGTGGTACGAAAATGAAATCATTGCCAACAAAGGAAACATTGCATTAAAACCAGGAGGGACAAAATATGACTCTTATGGCCTCCAAGGCTGTTTCTCTGGTCTTCGACTTCCCTAGAATTGCAAGGTCATTAAGTATTGAACATGATGCTAGCCATGTGTCATGTATCATGTTCTGCAGTTGTGGTTGGTGGTGGTAGGCCTAGCAGTTGGTGATGGAAGGGTCAATGTAAGTCTTCGTTCTAAAGGATTGAGTAATCTGTAAGTAAGAGTTCATGGGTGAAAGCAATTAAGGATAGAGGTATGCAAGAGATAGGCTGCAACTGGGTGTTTTTAGATATAATGAGCTAGCTTTGGGACTGATCTTTAGGAGAAAAGTTTTTGCCTTATTTTGGTGGTAGATGCTGCTGGTTTTCCCCCAGGTTTGTGGATTTTCGGTATCCCGACCTGTTTTTTGAACCCTTGGAACCTTGAATCTTTGGACTGGCTTTTGATTACGGTATAGGCTCTTGATCATTGAACTCTCAGTGTTTGTCCACTGAACTGGACCTTTTGACTACAGTGTTATCTTGAACCCGCAACAGCATTTGCTGTCAGTTTTGTTTTATATTCTGTGGCTGAGTGCTATCTTTATGTTTTACGTTTTGGACTATTAAAACAGCCAGAAGGTAAGTGCTGCTTTAATTAAATTGTTTAAAACAAACTAGGACAGTGTTTCTCAACCTGGGGGTCGGGACCCCCATGGGGGTTGTGAGGGGGTGTCAGAGGGGTCGCCAAAGACCATCAGAAAACATTGGTCATGGGGGTTCTGTGTGGAAAGTGTGGTCCAATTCTGTCAGTTGGGTTCAGAATGCTATTTTATTGCAGGTGAACTATAAATCCAACAATTACAACTCCCAAATGGCAAGGCCTATTTTCTCCAAACTCTACCAGTGTTCACATTTGGGCATATTGAGTATTTGTGCCAACTTTGATCCAGATCCATTATTGCTTGAGTCCACAGTGTTCTCTGGATGTAGGTGAACTACAACTCCAAAAAACTCAAGGTCAGTGTCCACCAGACCTTCCCAGTATTTTCTCATGGTCATGGGAATTGTGTGCCCAGTTTGATTCAATTCCATCATTGGTGGAGTTCAGAAGGCTCTTTGATTTTAGGTGAACTATAAATCCCAGCAACTCCAGCATTACCAAATGACAAAATCAATCACCCCCAACCTCACCAGTATTCAAATTTGGAAGTATTGGGTATTTGTGCCAAATTTGGTCCAGTGACTGAAAATACATCCTACATATCAGATATTTAGATTACCATTCATAACAGTAGCAAAATTACAGTTGTGAAGTAGCGACGAAAATAATATTATGGTTGGGGGTCACCACAACATGAGGACCTGTACTAAGGGGTCATGGCATTAGGAAGGTTGAGAACCACTGAACTAGGAGTTTGTTTGGTTCATCTCTACCTGAATAAGGCAGAGCCCTGGAATTGTGACACCTTGCTTTTTAATATAGACATGGGTAAACTTTGGCCCTCCAGGTGTTTTGGACTTCAACTCACACAATTCCTAACAGCCTGTTAGAAATTGTGGGAGTTGGTCCAAAACACCCGGAGGATTGAAGTTTGCCCATGTTTGTTTTAAAGTGTACCTACAGCTCTAAAGTATTACTTGTGCTGTTCCAAGGAATGGAAAGAGTAGCCAGTTACTCCGTAGAAGTAGATTTTTGCTTGTGACAAATTATTCTAATTGGTCAGAGGATCAAAGAAAAAGTGTGAGGAAGTGAACACAAGGATGATTCTCACCACTCTTGGCTTGAAGGGTGGCTCCACAGCTCTCTCCTCTATTGCATCCCAGTTGATGTCTTTGAAAAAGGGGTGTTGGCGGATGTTCCCTTTGGCTCCCAGCCTCCTCTCTGCCTCTCTCACAAAGAGCTAGAAGGCAACAGAAGTGGAAACAATATCAATTCAGTGAAAGAGCAGTTGCTCAAGTACATACAACTAAATAAGGACCGCGGTTGGGAAAATACTATATATATTGTCAAAGGCTTTCATGGCCGGAATCACTGGGTTGCTGTTGTTTTTTTCGGGCTATATGGCCATTTTCTAGAGGCATTCTCTCCTGATGTTTCGCCTGCATCTATGGCAAGCATCCTCAGAGGTAGTGAGGTCTGTTGGAACTAGGAAAAAGGGTTTATATATCTGTGGAATGACCAGGGTGGGACAAAGGACTCTTGTCTGCTAGAGCTAGGTGTGAATGTTTCAACTGACCACCTTGATTAGCATTTGATTGCCTGGCAGTGCCTGGAGCAATCTTTTGTTGAGAGATGATTAAATGTCCTTGTTTGTTTCCTCTCTGTTGTTGTGCTGTTCTAATTTTAGAGTTTTTTAATACTGGTGGCCAGCATTATATATGAGTTTTGTGAAACCCTGATGAGAAGAATCATGGACAGATGATTTTCAGGTGGAGACTTATTTTATGCAAAATTCACAGCTGGCTGAGCAGAAAAAAAAAGCTTTTTCTGCACAAAACAATTTTCTGTGTAGAAAACAGCATTTTCTGCACAGAAAATAATTTTGCACAAAATATTATTTTCTGCACGGAAAATTCTATTTCTCCATGATAAAAAAATGCTATACTTGAGAAATTATTCTTTCAAATTTGCACATGATTTATTATTGTTTATTGAAATATTTTTTCTGAGTGCATCCTAAGAATTTGCTTGGTCTCATAAAGCAAATCTATGGTGAATTCTATGCGAAACATACCACAGAATCATGTGGAAGACCTAGCAAATTCCTAGGGAGACTTAAGACAGGGCTATAAATTCAATCGATTCCTTTCCTATCCTATCTCTTGATCTCACCTTTATTAGGATATCTCTTGCATCTTTGTCCAACCACCGTGGATAGAAGGGGCTGTCCATTCGGATTGACTGGAAGAGTTCCTCTTCATCCTGGCCATGGAAGGGTGACTGGCCAATCAACATCTCATACAAAAGGACTCCAAAGGACCACCAGTCAACAGATGTGTTGTATTTCTGTCCCAGAAGAATCTGTTGTTGAGAAGGAATTGAGATGTGAAAGCGAGGAGCAGAGTTTTGTTTTTGGATTGTATCTTGCACAATCTCTCAGACAGAATGGTCACTAGGAGTTGATTGGGTGTCAGGTTTTACAATGTATTGCAATGTAATATAGCTGAGTCATGCATTGCTAATGGGCTTCTATTGGGAATGCTGAGTCATGCATTAACTGTATATAGGGAATCATTTGGAGAATGTGTTCTGGCCTAGTCCAGGTGATTGTGAATGATGTAATCCTGGGTCTGAGTTAAGTTAATGAGTTGGGAACCAATCAGAGATTGCTATGTGTAATTGTATAGAATTGTATATAAGGAAGTCATGTACAGTGTATATTTCTCCTTGTGCTGTGATGTTGTTCGTCGAAGGCTATATGTAATAAAAGAACCTGTCTGCTAAGACAAGATATAACTGTATGCTGTGGTAAGTTTGTAATATCATCTAGACTGGGGGAAAGACAATGGTAAAACTGACAATGGCCGGGCATGTGCTCAAGTGTCTGTAAAAGGTTCCAGAGTGACTGCAGGCTGTGGGAGCAGTTGACTGAAAATACTGCGCAGGAAGAAGCTACTGGAAAGCGCTGAAGTTGTGCAACTGATCTGCTGCTGAATTGTGAAGTTAATCTCAACATTGGGGAATTCTGGGAACCGTGGTGCAATATGAATATAGCTTGACCATTACGTACTGTCAAGTACCTTAACTACATAGTGGATTTTAGCCAGACCACCATCCAAACCCTGTTAACTAAAATGCAGCCATTGTGATTGACTGGGACTTGTCCCCCATTAATCAAGAAGCAGCTGCCTGATGTTTCCATCTCACCCATGAGCTATCTCCAATGCAGTAACAAGACAAAGGATCCTTTGCATTTGAGATTGCTTGAGCTGTGTTTCAACTGACAGGGAAATGGATCCTTGTCAATCCCAGGGCCTGCTATAATTGAGATTTGGAGTATTTTCACAGTTCCTATGTAACTAGGGGCTAAAAAAAGAGATTGTGAAAACATTGCAGTTACAAATGGATACTTATAGGTTATGTATTCATAACTACCCAACATGATTCTGGTCAATATTTCCAAGAATGTGCATTATGAATAATACATTTGCACCTACCTCAGGAGCAATATAGTCGGGAGTCCCACAGAACGTGCTTGTTTTGGAGCTCCCAAACATATTTTCTTTGCACATTCCAAAATCAGCGATCTTGATGTGCCCTTCCTTGTCCAAGAGTACATTGTCGAGCTTGAGGTCTCTGTAAAGTCATGAAGGATTACATTGCTGCTTTGACAATGCTAAATGCTACCTAAACACAGTGAAATAGCTATGGTTCCCCACCCCTATCTGAGAGAATGAGGGTCCTGGCCACTTCTCAGCTGATTCAGGGTCTTGTCTAGGGTCACCTTTATCAACTTTTGATCACCAGAATTCTCAGTTTGTGCCAGTGGTTAAACCAGGAAAATCAAGTTAACATCAACACTCAGTGTAGACATTTTTAAGTCTTTGAGTTCCAGGATATGTACATGGGAATGAACAGACTCTTCTGGCATTTTTTAAAAAGTTATTTAGCCTGCAGATGATAAAATTGAGAGGAACTATGTTTAAATATTTAAAAGGATGCTATAAAGAAGAGAGAGCAGGCTTGTTTTCTGCTGCTCTGGAGATTCGGAGCAAAGGGTTCATGTTACTGGAAAGGAAGTTCCACCTGAACATTAGGAAGAAGCTCCTGAACGTAAATGCTGTTCAACAGTGGAACTCACTGCTTCAGAATCTGGTGGAAAATCTTTCTTTGGGGGCTTTCAGACTGAGGTTGGATGACTATTTGTTGGGGCGCTTTGATTGTGCCTTTCCTGCATGGCAGCGGGTTGGATTGGATGACCCCTGTGGTCTCTTCCAACTTTATTATTCTATGATTCTCATTAAGCCTCAGAGGAAGGAAATAGCACAACATTTATATGCTGCCCTTCTCACCCTGAAGGGGATTAAGAGCTGTTTACAAGATATATATATATATATTCAGCATAGTACAATATCAGTTTTGTATATTACTATATTGTACTATACCATTATATTGTAATATTATTAGTAATAGTACATGAAATATAAAATATATAATGTATTATTAGTAGTAGTATTATATTGTATTACATTATAATATTATAAATATTATATGTATATACAATATACATATATAATAAAATATATTATATTACCATATATTATATTATATTATATTATATTATATTATATTATATTATATTATATTATATTATATGAAGAAAACCCTATGATAGGATCACCATAAGCAAAAGGTGATTTGAGGGGATATGAATCCAGTCAAATTAGAGTTTAAAATCACTAGCTCACAACATTAGATTAGAGAAAGAAATAGGTTGGAGAGAAGGCTGGATGTGTTCTGGTTACAGGAAGCATGTACGTGATTTTCTTATTACATGTGTCTTGGGTGTTCCTCCTCTCCTACATACACATGCACACACACTTCTTTTGATTTTTAAGCCAGGAATCTCCTCTTACAATTTTCAGAGAATTTCTGTATTTTAAAACAGCACCAATTCATTTGGAAAGAAGTTTGAATGCACTGGGGTTGACATGTTCAGCATTTCCACTTTAGGATCAAAATCTTACCTATAAATGATTCCTTTGGAGTGAAGGAACTGCAAGCCACAGATTATTTCAGCAGCATAGAATCTGAAAAAAGGAAATTGTTTTTCAGTGAGTTGTTGAGAGTTTTCTGGGCTGGATGGCTATGTTCTAGAAGCATTCTCTCGTGACATTTCACCTTCATTTATGGCAGGCATCCTCAGAGGTTGTGAGGTCTGTTGGAAACTAGGAAAATGGGATTTATATATCTGTGGAAATTCCAGGGTGGGAGAAAGAACTCTTTTCTGTTGGCGCTAGGTGGGAATGTTTCAGTTGACCACCTTGATTAGCATTAAATGACCTAGCAGTTTCAAGGTGTGGCTTCTTACTGCCTGGGGGAGGTGATTAGCTTGCTCTGATTGTTTCCTGTCTGGAGTTCCCCTGTTTTTGAGTGTTGTTCATTTTTAGAGCCTGTTGGATTGGACTGCAGGTCTACTGAACCCAGTTTTCCATGGTGACCAGTAAGATATTGAGGAAGCCCCAAACTATGAGATTTTTTTGTGTCACTAGATAACTTTCCTAAAATGGCACTTTCAGAATAGGTTGAACTACAACATTTATAGCAACCAACAAGCCCCAGCCATCTTTTCTGAAATGGCTAGGAGATTCACTGAGTCCAATTTACCTCGATGACAGTGAGGGTATCTCCATAGATGTAGCCCAACGCTCGTTGCCTTTGGAAGGTTTTAACTGGGCCTTGATTGCTTGCTGTCTGGAGTTCTCCTGTTTCGGAGTGGTATGCATTATTTACTGTTTTGATTCCAGTGTTTTTTAATACTGGTAACCACATTTTGTTCATTTTCATGGTTTCCCCCTTTCTGATGAAATTGTCCACATGCTTCTTGTGGATTTCTCTGTGTAATCTGACATAGTGGTTGTCAAAGTGATGTCTAGAATTTCTGTGTTCTCAAATAATATTCTGTGTCCAGGTTGGTTTATCATGTGCTCTGCGATAGCTGACTTCTTTGGTTGCAGTGCCTTTCGTGTTCTTTGGTCTGTGTCTAGGTGCTGCACTTGGTTGTCCCTGTATAGACTTTTCCACAGCTGTATGGGACATGGTAGAGTCCTGCAGGATGCCTCCAGGCAACAAAGGCTAGGCTACCTCTATGGAGATACCCTCACTGATTGACTTTGCAAACTTCATGGCTTCTCAAATGCTAATTAAAGCTTGCTAATTGCAACATTCACACTTGCTTTAAACAGACTAAGGTTCTTTCATTCCACAGATATATATATATACACTTCACTTGCCTCACTGCCAACAGAACCTCTGAAGATGCCAGGGACATATGCAGGTGAAACGTTAGGAGAGAATGATGTTGGAACATGACCATATAGGCCAAAAAACTCACAGCAACACAGTTCCTAAAATGGTTATATTATTTATTTTTAAAAAGAACTCTTCCCTTGGCCATATAGCCCGAAAAAACCTACAACAACCCAGTGATTCCGGCCATGAAAAGCCTTCGACAATACATTGAACAGACCTCACTACCTTTGAGGATGCTTGCCATAGATGCAGGCGAAACATCAGGAGAAAATGCCTCTAGAACATGGCCATATAGCCCGAAAAAACCTACAACAACCCAACTCTTCCCTTGTCATACAAGGATCTATTTCATTTTGCTCAATCCCTCTGGTTGTTTATGTCTTGTTCTTTAGCCCAATCCCTCTCTGCTTACAGAACAAAACAGACACCTTCTTACCTTGCTCTGCCGATGTCAAACTTGTGGCAGATCTGGATATGAAACATCAGGTCTCCACCATTGAGATACTCCATGACAAAAAAGAGGTTCTCCTAGCAAACAATATAGATTGTTTTACCATTACCTCTGATCCAAAATTTTCTGTCTTGAATACTTAATTCCTGCTCAAGGAGACTCATTAACATTGATGGGATTGAGTTCTGTGTTGTCACACCATTCAATGTCTAGTTCAACAGGCTCACACTAATTGGACTCATCCAATCCAATGTGGGCTCCATGCCTTTGGGTTCCACTTTTGTAGTAACTGAAGACCCTCATCCAATCCTCAAAGCACCTCAACCCTCATTAAAAAAATAACCAGGGCAAACTGAGTTTGCCTAAATCAATGGCAGGCAACTGGGGGAAACTAGTGGGTTGCATTCGCATCCTAGGAAATGTCATTGTAATGTTAATATATATTGTACAATATATGTCCATGCTGCTAGCTGTGAAAGACTTAATCTTTGGTATAGTATGAAGTTTGCGTGGAACAGACAAAGAAGATGTTGCAATAAACTACGAGGCTGGACACTGAGTTAATGAGCTGTTAACAGTGGGGTATAAATATAGTGGGGTATAAATATAGCTGGGGAAAATGGAAGGAAAAAAGAAGAGAGGCCGACCAAGGGCAAGATGGATGGTATCCTTGAAGTGACTGGATTGACCTTGAAGGAGCTGGGGGTGGTGACGACAAACAGGGAGCTATGGTGTGGGCTGGTCCATGAAGTCACGAAGAGTCAGAAACGACTGAACAAATGAACAACATGTCAGGATTTATTGAGGTACTAGCTTGAGTACCCGGCGGTGACCAGGTTATTTGAAAAAGGCATTGTTTATCTTGAGGTGTTCAGTAAATCATTTAGTTAATTAGTAACACTATTTATTAGAAAAATGCCAGTTTTTGATTTGATTTTTTATTAATGCTCCCATTAGAAAATGCATAAGGATGTGGGTGAACTACAATTCCCAGAATCATGGATCAATCCTCCCCAAACCAGACCAGTATGTAGTTGGCCATGTTGGGGGTGTGTGCCAAGTTTAGTCCAGATCTGTCGTGGGCTGTCTCTGACTAAGGGTGAACTATGCTAAGGATAATCCAGATCCATTTTCAAAGGGGGTCTTGATGCAAGGTGAACTACAACTTCCATCCTGTTCAGGCCCCAAAACACCTCCAGTCTGTTCAGTTGCTGATAAATTCGTCTGTGTTTGCTGTGTGCCATAGAAAAGGGTAGGAAGGGGCTAAGGTACAGGCAGTGGGTGTGGTCATGCAAAGTCCACACAAGGAACCCTGGGATGCCTGCCTGTGGTGGAGGAAACACGTCAAATCTAGGATGTAATTCTCCCCAAATGAAAGCATTCCTTGGGTGGTGGGTTGTAGGGTTTGGGAAGGACATTGGCCGTGTTTGGCTGCATGTTCATGGCACTCACTATAACCTGCAATATGAGTTGAGGGAGTGCCTTTGGAGTCTTCTCAGCACTTGGAACTATAGCCTGTTTGTAGAGGCTGTTTGTGTAAGTGGACATCTCCGCCACATACACACATATTTTTCACTTTTATTATGTGTATAGATTATATGTATTATCTGTATGAGTTTTAAATGTAATTCTTGTGTAGCAAATATGGATGTCACTGAGAATGAAAATGCTGTACTGAAATGTTTATGTTGAGGCTGTGACTAAGTGACCTTAAGATAAGCTCTCTTCTGCTGAGAACTTCTAGGGAGTTGCCGCTTGGAGCAAGAAAGATTAACAGCTGCAAAGTTCTGTTTTGACTTTTGGTTTTCCTGTCTCTTCCTGTGTGTCCCTCGCTGTAGATGGATGTGTTTTTCTGTGCTTAGTAAACTGAGTTTTCTTTTGTAATCAAAGTCTCCAGAGTCCTTGATTTCAGAACTATGTCTGGTGGATCTAGCATTTTGCTTCTGTCAAGTTGCACCTTAGCTTGACACAACAACAATAAATATAGCAGATGCCATTTGTTCTCTCCTGTTCTCCCTTGCTTCTGACCGTGCTAACGAGTAAGTGCTATTGTAATGAATGAATTGTAAATAAATATAAGAGCTGCTACAGAAGCAGAAACAACAGTCTGAAGTCAGTTAATTGGATGATGAGAAGCAAATTGGCCATTAAATTGCATTGATAGTAAATTGCACCCTCCATCACATACACTCACCACAATCCATAACTTATTTTTTTTTTGCACACAAATATTCCCATTACTCTCTAGCTCTGTGGGTGGGATTTTCACCATGTTTCAGTGTGCCCATTTTACTTCTAGTTTACTTCTTTTTTTTCTTGGGAAGAATGTGGCCAAAAATGCTTTCTCATGTCTTTGAGGAAGCCATAAATATGGCCATACCTAGGCTACCCTTGGTCTCAATTAACACTGTCTACTACTGTCTCGTGTATTGTTTAGACCAGGCTTGCACAATCTAGGACTCTCCAGGAGTTTTGGACTTCATCTCCCAGCATTCCTGACCATTGGATAAGCTGGCTATGACTTCTGGGAGTAGGAGTCTTCCAGACCAAGTTGTGCAGACTTAGTGTAGATCAGCCATGGACAAACTTTGGCCCTCCAGGTATTTTGGACTTCAACTTCCACAATTCCTAACAGCCTGGTCTAGATGAACAGGAGAAAAAATAATTTTACCTGGGTTTGGAATGTGCAGAAAACATGGGTGAGAAAAGGGTGCTCCCAAGCCAGTGACAGGACACGTTTTTCAACCATGGTACATTCAACGTCATCGTCCATAAGCACAACTTCCTTCTTCAGTGCTTTCATGGCGAAAAACTGGTTGGTGGCCTTGAGTTCAACAAGGAAAACCTGGAGCAAAAAATCTTCCTTAATAAGCAGGGATGTAGAAAAGTTTTGTGAAGTTACGAGCAAGCGTAGAATTTGGAAATAGGTGCCAAATTGAGCGTTCCTGAGAAAAATCATTTGTATGTGTATTGGTGTGCTATTCGGCATTTCTTAATTTTTACAGTGGGCACATTCAAAATACAGAATTTAATACACAATGAGTCTCTTGGAACAGAGGAAAGCTCCATATAAACAACAACAGCAGCAACAACAACAACAACAACAATGATTATACAGAAGGTGTTGTCAAAGGCTTTCATGGCCTGAATCACTGGATTGCTGTGAGTTTTCCGGGCTGTATGGCCATGTTCCAGAAGCATTCTCTCCTGACATTTTGCTAGAGAGGTACCTCACAACCTCTGAGGATGCTTGCAATAGATGTGGGTGAAACATCAGGAGAGAATGCTTCTGGAACATGGACATACAGACCCAAAAACTCACAGCAACCCAGATTATACAGAAATCATTGAGTCTTCTTTCAAGTCAGCTGCAGAACTATTTCGAACAGACTATTTAGACCTGAAATTAATCAAAATTTGGTAACTGCGGAACCATTTCTTTACTGGGATCTCATGTAAGGATGATACTCATTAAAGGCAGCTATTTAAAAAGATATATGGCTTTTCTTATACAAGAAAAAACCCCCACACATAATTAATGAAATGAGTTTCATGTTTACTTCTTACCTTGCCAAAGCTCCCTTTCCCCAACATTTTGTGCAGGACAAAATCCTCGATGGTTAATTTCGGGAGGTCTGCTCGGACATCCTGCCTTGGTTCAAGTTCCAGGGGAGAATCGGAACGTGTCACATCTTCTGCTGGCGTCTCCCAAGTAACTCCTTGAGGCTCTACAATAGATCCCAGCACATTTATATCAGGACGACCCACAAGATTAGGTTGCCTGAGGCAGAGCATACTACCCCAAAATGGGCAATTTATTTGTGGGGAAATGAGGTAGAAAATCTCATCAACTCCCAGTGGTGATTGGTAGCTTCCATGTCAGAGATACGATAATCCATTCTGGATTTTCACCTGAATTTTACAGGTACGATTCAAGGTTTTGAACCCAATGCCAAAAATACGTTAAGTCACACCTTGTATAACTCTTCTCTAAATTTTAGTTTAAACATCAAATATTCTTATACATAGAACCAAGCCTATTTTGGGGATTGTCAACCAGCAAAATTACTGTGCAAAATGAGGAGCCCCCGGTGGCACAGTGGGTTAAACCCCTGAGCCGGCAGGACTGAAGACCGACAGGTCGCAGGTTCAAATCCGGGGAGAGGCGGGTGAGCTCCCCCTGAGCTCCAGCTCCTCATGCGGGGACATGAGAGAAGTCTCCCACAAGGATGGTAAAACATCAAAACATCCAGGTGTCCCTGGGCAACATCCTTGCAGAGAGCCAATTCTCTCACACCAGAAGCGACTTGCAGTTTCTCAAGTTGCTCCTGACACGACAAAAAAAACAAAAAACAAAAAACCACATTAATTTGGGAGAGCGCAGATGAGCTCCCACTGTCAGCTCTGGTTCCTCATGTGGAGACATGAGAGAAGCCTCCCACAAGGATGGTAAAACATCAAAACATCCGGACATCCTCTAAACTCCACCAGTGTTGACCTTTGGGCATTTTGATTATTCGTGATGTGTTTGGTCCAGATCTATCATTGTCTGAGTGCTCCCTGGATATAGGTGAACTATGTGACGGCGCGAGTGACGCCACCTATATGTAGAACTGTAAGTTGCAGGATTTGAACTGTTGTATCATGCCTGATTTTGCCTTTTTACCCTGTAAATGTATAGTTGGATTGATTGGTTATTTATAGCTGTCAATCAATGTTGTTTGCACCAGTTGAATTGCTCCTCCTACTCAATTGTTTGACCCCACCTCTTCCTAGAGAGCAGGACAGTGTTTCCTTTTCCATTCCACCATCAAACTTTCTATCAGATGGACGTGAGAGAGAGACTTGGCTCTGAAGCCCTTGATTAAGTTACCTCTCAGCACCAATTCTGAGGTTCTTACCCTTGAGACTTATGCTTCATGTTCAGATCAACCTGGACGACGTTGAGAAGTCTCAAGCGCCTTCAAACCAGTTCTTTGGCACCAGAGGAAAGCTTTGTGCCTTCAAAATATAGGCCATTGGAATTGGGGTTGTGATTATTCCGATATTCACAGCCATTGAGAAAGAGGGACCTGGAAAAGCTTCTCAGCTGCAAAACTCCTTGGACCCAAGACAACCAGAGACTGTAATGTATATTTTCCTTTACCCCTTTGAAATTTCCAGCATATTGCCTTAAAGGGATAACTCTTTGTGAACAATAAAAACCTATTTTGAATTATCTACAGTGTTTTGGTCCTTGGGAGTTCCAGTTTCCTAAAGAAGGGCAAGAAGCAATCCCCTGGGGGAAAGATGTCACGTTCATGCCTCTTTCACTAAGAGTTATAGCCCCCAAGCATGATGGCACAAACTACAACCCCAAAACTCCACATCAATGCCACCAAACCCTTCCAGTATTTTCTGTTGCTCATGGGAGTTCTGTGTGCCAAGATTGGTACAATTCCATCGTTGGTGGAGTTCGGAATGCTCTTCGATTGTAGGTTAACTTTGAGTCCCCTTCGGGGTGAGAAGGGCGGGGTAAAAGAACCCCAAATAAATAAAATTAACTATAAATTCAATCAACTACAACTCCCAGATGACAAAATTAATCCCCCCACAATCCCACCAGTATTCATATTAGGGTGTATCATGTAATTGTGCCAAACTTGGTCCTGTGAATGAAAATACATCCTGCAAATATTACATTATGATTCATACCATTAGCAAAATTACAGTTCTGAAGTAGCCACAAAAATAATTTTATGGTTGGGGGTCACCACAACATGAGGAACTGTATTAAGGGGTCACGGCATTAGGAAGGTTGAGAAACACTGTCCTAGTCACTATGGACATTGTAATCCAACAGAGTGACGTGTCCAAGATCTAGTGAAGAGGGGAAGTTATTGCCCAAAGGAAGCAAATGAGTGCAAATCAAGAAATAACATGTAATACCTTTTTTCTCTGTTGGAGGCGCTGGCACTGAAGGGGTGGAAGGCTCCTCTTTCTCAGGGAAGATGATCTCAACTGGTCCTTCTCTTAAAATTTGTTCCGAATCATGTAAACTTCGAGCCTGGCTCAAATAAAAACATATGCCAAGAAAATGAAACACGACAGATATGCTACATGCAGGATCAATGTTTGAAATCCTAGACTTTGGAAAGAATTAAATCAAAACATTGCAGAAGACAGTTAGGCTCTCTAATGTTTTCTCTAGGTAGAACAAGGTGATGAAAGCATGGTTCTTCATTCAATCCTTTGGCTCAGGATTCAGGTTATCTCCCAGCTTATCTTGTTGAATCAGTGGTCAGTGTAGATTTTCCCCAAGACCCTGTCATCATACCCAAATATTCCCATAAATTTGATCCTAGAACTTTTGATGTTTTGTGGGACTGGTAAGTACTGGATAACATCTATCACATAGGCTTTGCATTTCCCCCATCTTGCATCCTTACCTGCTGCCGGCTCTCGATCAAGGCCAACGCTTCCGCCATGAGTTTCTGGTTGACGCCGCAGAGGTTTGCCACTTTCATTTGGCATTTGTGGTGGACGTTCATGGTGCAGGCTGCAAGGAAGGCATTTTGTCAAGAGTTGAGGGACATTCCCATGCCAAACACCTGCAAAATCCTGCAGGCTGCTTCTGTTTTAAACATTATCTATTAAGATATAAATACATTTCCCACAAAACTTGAAAGCACCAGTCCTATCTGGTCTTGAAAGTTAGGCTGAAGCAAGCTTAACTTATGGAGATTCAATAATTTGTGGATTTGATTAATATGATCTCTCTAGGAATTGATAGGTGTTCCAGTACAACCCTAAAGTCAACTTTCTAGAGATTCGTATAGAGGTGTTCTTCCAGGTAAAGAAGTACCAGGCTTTTCATCCATGGTTTTCCCTTTTCTGCATGTGTCTTGTGCCCCTACCAGAACTGACTATACTTGGACCACTATGGAATCCCAAATGCTATAGGCTATATCAGGCATGGGCAAACTTGGACCCTCCAGGTGTTTTGGACTTCAACTCCCACAATTCCCAACAGCTGGTAGCCTACAAGAAAGGAGATTCCACCTGAACATTAAGAAGAACTTCCTGACTGCGAGAGCCATTCAGAAGTGAAACTCTCTGCCCTGGAGTGTGGTGGAGGCTCCTTCTTTGGAGGCTTTTGAACAGAGGCTGGATGGCCATCTGTCAGGGGTGATTTGAACACAATTGTCCTGCTTCTTGGCAGGGGGTTGGACTGGATGGCCCACAAGGTCTCTTCCAGCTCTTTGATTCTATGCTTCTAAGTCCAAAACACCCGGAGGGCCCAAGTTTACCCATACCTGGGCTATATCCAAAAAAGGGTAGAATTTGGAGCAACCTATGATGCTTCTTAATGTGGCTCAAGGTCACATTAACCAGCTCTATGAATCACTTGGCCACCATGGAGCCAATTCATCCCTCTTTCGGTGCAATGGCTCAGTGCAGATGCACCATAGTCCAACACCCAAGGGTTTAATCACACTGATGTTCAACCTTGCATGGCAAGGATTAACTCCCGATCTACAACTGTTTACAGTATATGCAGGCCCCATATCTATGGTAGATATGTTCCAATACCTCCTATGGAAATGATGGATAACAGCAAAACTTATATTTTGACTGTACTTAGGCTGTAAGCATAGCATAGAATAGCACTAGAAGACCTATAGAGGCCCATAAACACTTCTAGGTTGGAGGATGAGTTGGTGAAACAATGAATATTGAATCCATGGATAAGTGGGTTGTATACAGTTCCAACACATTAAGTATGAGATAATACCACTAGTTTATGCGAGTAATATTTTACTGTTGTAAGAAAGAAAATCTCAGAGCTTGAAATATGCTTTTTGACCAGATTTCCCAGTGGCCACAAGACAACATGGCTGATTAGAGCTATGGGAGTTTTCCAAGCTCTGCATTTACCAGTGTAATGTTCTTTGGCATTGAGAGCAAGTACAGCACCTGGACTCACCTTCACATTTCAGGCCCTGCCTGGTGAGGCCCCATAGCAGCGTTCCACAGTGGTCGCAAAAAGTGGGGCTTTTGTAATTGTAGACCTTAAACCGGTGGGGCATATCGATCTTAAACCTCTCCTTGTGGAACTGCAAGAAAGAAAAAAAGGTTCTGATGATACTCAGCATTGGAACCTGGTAGTCCTCTTTCCCAATATACAGTGAGCCCTTGGAATCTTCTGAAGTTTGGTCCCAAAATCTGCTATCGATACTAAAATCAATGGATACCCAAATCTAATTATAGACAATGGGGTAGCAAAATAGAGTAGTCCTCAGCATGCAGCCCAATTAAGTTTGCATATATAGATATAGATATAGATAGGTAAAGGTTCTCCCCTGACATTAAGTCCAGCCATGTCCAACTCTGGGGGTTGATGCTCATCTCCATTTCCAAGAGTCAGCGTGGTCCGTAGACACCTCCAAGGTTATGTGGCCGGCATGACTGCATGGAGTACCGTTACCTTCCCGCTGGAGTGGTACCTATTGATCTACTCACATTTGTATGTTTTTGAACTGCTTTTAAACAGAGGCTGAATGGCCATCTGTCAGGGGTGATTTGAATGCAATATTCCTGCTTCTTGGCAGGGGGTGGGACTGGATGGCCCATGAGGTCTCTTCCAACTCTTTGATTATATGATCTATGATTCTATGATTCTATGCTAGGTTGGCAGAAGCTGGGGCTGACAGCGGAAGCTCACGCTGCTCCCTGGATTTGAACCTGCAACCTTTTGGTCAACAAGCTCAGCAGCTCAGCAGTTTAACCCACTGTGGCAACGGGCTCTCTCTCTCTCTCTCCCTCCCTCTCTCTTTCTCTCTATATATATGTACACTAACACACACACATATATATACACACTTACAGACTCAAACAACCATGGCACATATAGATTACAGGCAATACCCATGTTATGAACAGAATAGGTTTTGTAGGTTTGTTCTTAAGTTGAATTTGTATGTAAGTTGGAGCAAAGACATTTTTAAAGTGTAACTCCAGCCAAAAATATATTTTTACGCTTTGGATAGCATAGTGAAGGGTTGACACCCCTGTGAGTTTTGTTTTGGTGTCTGTGCTCCTCATCTTACTTTCCCTGTGATCAAGGGCGCCCCCGGTGGTGCAGTGGGTTAAAGCACTGTGCCGGCAGGACTGAAGACCGACAGGTCGCAGGTTCGAATCCGGGGAGAGGCGGATGAGCTCCCTCTATCAGCTCCAGCTCCTCATGTGGGGACATGAGAGAAGCCTCCCACAAGGATGATAAAAACAACTGGGCAACGTCATTGCAGATGGCCAATTCTCTCACACCAGGAGCGACTTGCAATCACTCCAGACACGACAAAAAAATGGAGTCTGAAAAATGTGTCTTATTGTGGAAATAAGGATTGGTGATAAAGCTTCAGTGGAAACACCTTTGGCCCATGATAACTCTTTCAGGAATGAATTTTCCTTCCCGAGGAGTAGATTCCTCTCACCTCTTATTATCATACTCCCATTTATAATAGGATGTTTGTAACTCGGAAAAGTTATACTGCGGGTATATAGATCTCCTTAGGTAAAGGTAAAGGTAGTCCCCCGACATTAAGTCCAGTCATGTCTGACTCTGGGGTGTGGTGCTCATCTCCATTTCTAAGCCGAAGAGCCAGCGTTGTCCGTAGACACCTCCAAGTTCATGTGGCCGGCATGACTGCATGGAGCGCCGTTACCTTCCCGTCGGAGCGGTGCCTATTGATCTACTCACATTTGCATGTTTTCGAACTGCTAGGTTGGCAGAAGCTCGGCCTAACAGCAGGACCTCACCCCACTCCCTGGAATCGAACCTGCGACCTTTCGATCAACAAGCTCAGCAGCTCAGTGCTTTAACCCACTGCGCCACCAGGGGCTCCATAGATCTCCTTATGTAGATCTAAAAAACTCCATTACAAGCACTCAAAAAAGATTCTATATTAAATTAGAATTTGCATCAAAAATGTCACACATTTTTAGCAGCACTTTGGAAAAGTTATTTTTGGACACCAGGAACTCCCAGTCAGTACAAACATAGTCATTCTAACTGGGAGATTCTGAGATCCAAAGTCAAAAGTAACTTCTCCAGGCTCTTTCCAAAGGCATGGAAGTGAAATAATGTATATTTGTTTGATAGATTATGGATGAACATTTAGTCAATACCACACATTGGAAAGTAGAATATGCTAATGTTGAACTTGGGTAAAGACTATTGGATTCCAGTCTTCTTACCCATCCATGACAGAAAGCGATATTTCTTTGGAGAACTATGGTTTCATTCCTTTCTATCAAAGCGATCTTATAATTGGTGTGATTGTCCAATAGATAATACCAAATAAAAAGGCTGAAATGTGAATATTTCAATATCCAGTGGACATCTGCAAACCACTTCCTGTAGTTTAGCATGATTTCATACATAAACATTTGTGTTGTTATATTTAATCTAGTGTTTTGACGTTCTTGACAAACTTTATGTTTAACCACCTTGAACTGTTTCTCAAGCGGGTGCATCTACACTGTAGAATTAATGCAGTTTGATACCACTTGAACTTCTGTGCTCAAATCTCTAGCTTTGTCTACTAAAGATTACTGATGCCTCACCAAACTACAGCTCCTGGGATACCATAGCATTGAGTTATGGCAGTTCAAGTGGTGTTAAATTGCATCAATTCTCCAGTGTAGATGCTGCTGCAACTTCATCCAGATGCTTACCATGGTTTCTCTGCTGTTGATAGCTGATCCTGTACATTTAGCAATCACTTTGTCAATGCACTTCTTGTGAATGGCAGCATTGCATTCTGGAGGAGAGAAGAGATAGACTTTTTCAAAGTATTTCACTGTGACTTAGAAAAAATATATAGCAGAAACATTGCTTTCTATATGCCACAACCTCTGAGGATGTTTGCCACAGATGCAGGTGAAACGTCAGGAGAGAATGCTTCTAGAATATGGCCATACAACCCGAAAAACCTACAACAACCCATCACTTTCTAAATGTTTCAATAGATTAACTATAAGACTTCGTAGTATCCCTGAATGAAGAACAGGTACAAAGGATTCTGAGCAAGGATTATGGATGAATGGAATCATGCACTTCCTATGTTTTGATCTGTTATTATTCTATGGATTTTGTTTGCTTACCATTTTAACTACTTTTTAGTTTATGGGATGTGTTTTATAACTATGTTTAAGCTGCATTGAATCATGCTGGAATTTAAAGCCGCCTATGGGGGTGAGAAAGGCAGGGTATACATGAAGGAAATAGTAATAATAAATACAAATCTAGAATTGCAATATTGAACATTAGTCATGACGATTTGTGCTGACTACTAACTCCAATATGAATACAAACTCTATTATCTGAATAGAAAACAGATTTGTTGTGCAGGAAAGAAATATCTGGCCACGGATCTGGCCACGGTGGTCCACGCTCTTGTTACATCCCGATTGGATTACTGCAACACACTCTACGTGGGGTTGCCTTTGAAGACTGCTCGGAAACTCCAACTAGTCCAGCGAGAGGCAGCCAGATTGCTCACCGGAGCGGCATACAGGGAGCATACCACTCCCTTGTTATGTCAGCTCCACTGGCTGCCGATCCAATTCCGAGCACAATTTAAAGTGCTGGTTTTGACCTACAAAACCCTATACGGTTCCGGCCCAGTGTATCTGTCCGAACGGATCTCCCTCTACATCCCACCTCGGAACCTAAGATCTTCTGGGGAGGCCCTGTTCTCGACCCCGCCTCTATCACAAGTGAGGTTGGTGGGGACGAGGAGCAGGGCCTTCTCGGTGGTGGCCCCTCACCTGTGGAACTCACTCCCCGGGGAGATTAGATCAGCAACTTCCCTTTTTTCATTTAGAAAAAAACTGAAGACCTGAATGTGGGACCAGGCATTTGGACATTCTGGCAGCTAAAGAAAGACCTGATGATGAGCAGGAACTGATGGAACGGAATGGATTTACGGAACTCTGAACACTGAGCATGGGATTAGTTTACTATTGTGTTATGTATAGATGTTTTTAACCTGTTAACTGTTTAATTGCTTTTACATATGTATGTATATTTGACATAGGCATCGAATTGTGCCTTCTTTTGTAAGCTGCCCTGAGTCCCCCCTCGGGAGTGAGAAGGGTGGGGTAGAAGTAACTGAAATAAATAAATAAATAAATAATAAAATTGTATGTCCAAAAAAACAATTTCTCAACAAGAAAACCTTTGTCATTACAGAAAAGAGCAAAAAGAGATTCTGCACAGAAAATAATTCTGTACAAAAATATTTTTTGTACAAAAAAACAGTTTTTGCACAAAAAACCCAACATGTTTTTCTATGCAGAATAATTCGACAACATCATGCAATGTTCAAATGCCAAATGAAACCAACCCAACATTTGTGGTGGGGTATTACTCATTCTATATATACGCTATATATACTAATATATTTTTTCCTACACATAGATCTTAGATCTACAGAGACACTCGCTGGAACACCCCAGCAAGCAAGAGTCCAAAAGTGGCAGGCCCAAAACCAGCACCTCAATTCATGGGTGATACCAAATGAGAAACTCCCTCCTGGGCACACAGAAGACTGGGCGACTTGGAAGGCGCTGAACAGACTGCGCTCTGGCACCACGAGATGCAGAGCCAATCTTAAGAAATGGGGCTACAGGGTGGAATCCTCGGCATGCGAGTGCGGAGAAGAACAAACCACTGACACCTGCTGCAATGCACCCTGAGCCCTGCCACATGCACAATGGAGGACCTTCTTGCGGCAACACCAGAGGCACTCCAAGTGGCCAGATACTGGTCAAAGGACATTTAACCAACTACCAAATTTGCAAAATCTGTGTGTTTTTTCTTTTTAATCTGTGTGTTTGTTTTGCTCTGTTAGAATTGTAATACAATGGTTGCTGATGACACGACCTGGAATAAACCTAATAATAATAATAATAATAATAATAATAATAATAATAATAATAATAATAAAACTTTATTTGTACCCCGCTACCATCTCCCCAAGGGACTCGGTGCGGCTTACATGAGGCCAAGCCCACAGCACATCAATAAACAAAAGCGATAACAAATAATCAATACAAACAGTTAAAATAAAACTCAAAAACAAAAATACACAATAAGTAATAAACAATAAAAATAACAATAACATACAGCATTTAAAAACCTATGGCCGGGCCAAATGTAGTAATTAAAATTTTAAAATGCTGGGCAAGAAACAAGGTAAGGTCAACTAGGATAAGGTTTTCAAAAGAAGATGAGGGTGCGTAAACAAATCCTAAATCATTATTAAAGTGCATTTGAGGACTTATTGCTAAGAGTTCAATTATAGAATCATAGAATCATAGAATCATAATGAATCATAATTCATTAATTAGGCTCAGTAAAAGACTGACACCAACAACTAATAATAAAATAGAACAATTATAACACTATACTGTAATAAAACCTATGAGAATATGGCTTGCAATTGTAAACTTCTGAATTGTTTATTTCTAGGAATTCAATTTGAAATTTTTGCATTATTTTTTTTGCAAATAAATCTAAAGCAAATCCTACTGAGTCAACAGGACTAATTTCAGGGACCATAGGATTGTAGCCTTAATTCCTCATCATGCTGTATGAATATAATTTGAAATAACAAGCGTCTTACAAAATCATTTGTAGAGCTGGGTTATGTTGTACTTTCATATATGCTTTGTTTTTATGTTTGGCTGTTAAGTTTTAATTTCATTTAATTTTTCCTCCTTTCTCAGGTTTTTTTTTAGTGTCTATGCAAACAAAACATATTACTGCATTCTTCAGTATTGCCACGAATAAAGTCACTTACGTCTGCATTGATAACCTTGTTTGTTAAGACCCCTGGAAAGCAGAAAGGAAAAAAAGCGTCATAATAAATAGAATACAGAAAAATGTCTATTATATATACAAGAGGAATAAAAATAAGCAGAAAGGAAAAAATAATAATCAATACAGTGAGTTGCATTTGGCTCCAGACAACCTATTTATTTATTATTTTGGGCTGCAGTTAGCACAGCAGGTTAAATCACCAGGTAGAGAAAATCTTGCTGACCAGAAGGTCGGCAGTTCAAGCCGCAGGTTGGGGTGAGCTCCTGCCTTCAGCCCTAGCTTCTGCTTACCTAGCAGTTCAAAAACAGCAAAGTGAGAGGAGAAATAGGTACCGCTTTGGCTGTGTCTTTGATGGACATAAACTAACTTTACTTTTAAGCAAACTTGTTACCTCCTATTTCTGGATGGCCATCTGTCAGGGGTGATTTGAATGCAATATTCCTGCTTCTTGGCAGGGGGTTGGACTGGATGGCCCATGAGGTCTCTTCCAACTCTTTGATTCTATGATTCTATGATTCTATGATTCTATGATTCTGGTAATGAAGTTTTAAGAAGTGAACATTCATAAGGAATGTAGGAAAGTAGGAACAACATTGCTTATTTTGCTCAAACACATAATATTTTTAAGTTTTCTCTTTGCTATTAAGTAAAGAGTTGGCTATCTAGTAGGTTATTTCAAATAAGGATTTGTAATTTTTTGCATTATTATTATTATTATTATTATTATTATTATTATTATTATTATTTAAACATTTTATATCCCGATCTTCTCAACCTCCATAGAGGGACTCAGACCGGCTTACAGCAAGGATTCAATGCTAACAGTGCAATCTAAAAACATCATATAATAACGAGTTAAAATACGTATCAATTAAAATTACAAATAAGCCAATAAGCCTTCGTTAAGAGGCCTAAAATACGTAATCCCAGTCAACCTTTCACTTATCAAAGCTTTTTTTTTTAATGGGAACACATTTTTTTTTGAACGGAGAATAGAGCATTTTGGGCAAAACACACATTTGTGCAAAAATGTAAAGATTTCTTTTTTTCATAGTGACATTTTCATATACAGCCGAGTCTCACCTATCCAACCTTTGCTCATCCAACATTCTGTATTACCCAACGCAGTCTGCCTCCTGTCCAGATCCACAAATGTTTCAATTTATTGCCATGTTTTGGTGCTAAATTTGTAAATATAGTCATTACTGCATAATGCTACCATGCATTGAACGGCTTTTTCTGTCAATTTGTTCTAAAACATGATGTTTTGGTGCTTAATTTGGAAAATTGTAACGTAATTTGATGTTTAATAGGCTTTTGCTTAATCTCTCCTTATTATCCAACATATTTGCTTATCCAGCGTTCTGTTATATGTTGGATAAGCGAGACTCTACTCTAACTAGATATAGATATAGAAGCACATACACAATTTTTTTTCTCCTTGTTGGGTAAGAATATAGGATTGTGGGCCGGAGGTTTAGCACAGCTGGTAAATCATCAGCAACTATGAGATCTATCKAGAGAAAGGTTGCAAGTTCGAACCCCCAGGTTGGTACGAGCGGCCGACTGTCAGCCCTGCTCACTGTTTACCTAAGCAGTTCGAAAACAGCTTTAGCTGTAATTAGAGAAATTAGGTACCATTAAAGCAGTGGGGGGGGGGGGAGGTGTTTTACAATGCCATAAAGAAAAAGATCAGAAAATGCTGGAATGAGGAAATCCTGATGGCTCTTCGTCATAGAGGATGGAGCGACAACATCCCCTGTGGACTCAAGCCCAATTGTTCATGGCATCAACACAACACCTCCTTCTGTTCTGTCTGTGTACTGTCTATACAAACAGCATTGAATATTTCCCATGTATGTGTACTTGTAATCCGCCCTGAGTCCTCTACACTTTAGAATTATTGCAGTTTGACGCCACTTTAACTGCCATGACTCAATTCTATGGGATCATGGGATTTGTAATTTGGTGAAGTACCACCATTCTTTGGTGCAGAAGATCTTCTAAAACTGCAACCCCCATGATGCTATACTATTAAGTCGCAGAAGTCAAAGTGATGCCAAACTGCATCAATTCTGCAGTGCAGATGCACCCTTTCTTTGCCCAAACATTCTTTGGGTCATGATATTTTTTTAAAAAGGCAAAAGTGTGTCATACCAGACAAATTCGTGGCAAACGGAGCAGAATGTGGGCTGAGGGAAGAAAGTAGCGGTGAACTCGTGACACTTGACATCATGAATCTTGGCCTGCTTGATGGCTCCCCTGCGCTGGTGCAGAGAGAAAAACCCTTCCTTTTCACAGTCTATAAACTCCGGATCATCTGGGTGGAGAGCACAGAAAGAGAAGTCAAGTTACACATTTTTTTTAATTGGTATTATGAAGAAATTTGTGGTCAGGCCATTCACCGAAATAGCATGTATTTAAATCAGTCTGAAGAGCTGTCAGCTTTGAAAACCCCTCTAAAAATAGCATCCCACACTTCCCAAAATGTCGGGAGAATTAGCAAATCATCCAGCTAATAAGGCTTTGCAGAGGGAGGATCCTACACAGTTGACTCTCCACATTTGTTGGAGACCCCTGTGAAAGTGGGAAAAATATAAATATAAACACTATTTCACTTCTTCATTAACCCTTGAGTGGAAGCGGCTTAAGGAGGTGGGCATGTTTAGCCTGAAGAAGAGAAGGCTGAGAGGAGACATGATAGCCATGTATCAATATGTGAGAGGAAGCCACAGGGAGGAGGGAGCAAGCTTGTTTTCTGCTTCCTTGGAGACTAGGACGCGGAACAATGGCTTCAAACTACAAGAGAGGAGATTCCATCTGAACATGAGGAAGAACTTCCTGACTGTGAGAGCTGTTCAGCAGTGGAACTCTCTGCCTCGGAGTGTGGTGGAGGCTCCTTCTTTGGAAGCTTTTAAACAGAGGCTGTATGGCCATCTGTCAGGGGTGATTTGAATGCAATATTCCTGCTTCTTGGCAGAGGGTTGGACTGGATGGCCCATGAGGTCTCTTCCAACTCTTTGATTCTATGATTCTATGAGCTCCCACCGTCAGCCCTAGCTTCTCTTTACCTAGCAGTTCGAAAACACCAATGTGAGTAGATAAATAGGTACCACCTTGGCGGGGAGGTAAAAGGCACCCCAGAAAACATGTCGGCAATTCGATCAGGAAGGTGTCCATGGACAACTGGCTCCTTGACATGGAAAAATGGAAGAACAGCACCTCCCCATGGCCAAGTCGAGCACAGGCTCCAGATGCCAGAGATGAAAAAAAGAAGGAAGCTTTGCCTCTGTCTATATGTACTGTCTGTCTTTGTTAATTGTATAATGGCATTGAATGTTTGCCATACATGTATTCTGTAATTCGCTCTGAGTACACTTGGGGAGATCGAGTGCAGTAAATATCTATCTATCTATCTATCTATCTATCTATCTATCTATCTATCTATATATATATAGTATGTATACTTGGATGGTAGTCTGCCAATGCATAACTGATGCTGTAGGCTCTATTTCAGTGGAAGGAAGTGGCAAAACTACCTCTGGATATCCCTTGATCAATAAAACCCTATGAAAAATTCATGGGATCGCCATGAGTCAAAAGGTGTCTTAAAGACATATATGAAAACAAAAAAAATTATACATAAATAAAGTAAATAAACAAATGAATAAAAGATTCCAAGGTTGGAAAGATAACCATCCATCACTCATCATTTAGAAGATTTTACTGCTTGACAGGCAGGTAAAATTGATAGGTGTGGAAATGTATTTTCAAAAACATTTATGAATATATATGCTGTCTATTCCACAATCAAAATGTGTCACTTCAGCTTCTTGCTTCACAGTTTGCTGAAAAGAAGGCATGAGATTCCCTCCTCGATTGGCTAAACCAGTTGGGGAATAAATGTTAAAACCAATAGAGATAAAACTGGAATATTTCCACTTGCCTGTGGTTTCCAGAAAGTATTTTGCATTCATTAGCATTCTGCCTTGCGGCTTCAGGTCTAGCTGAAAAACAGAAGAGAAAAGAAGGAAGGAAAGAAAGAATTATGCAATGCAATGCGATACTGGACATTTCATGAAAGAATTTAATGGAAAGTTCCCACAAAAAAATCAGATTGGAATGCATAGTTCAATGATAATTGTTCAAAGAGGACTATTAACAGCATTCTTTAGTCATTGCCAAAAATGCCATCCTGGAGAACATGGCCAAAGGGCACTCAATATGCAAATGTCAGCCTGTGGGATTTCAGCCTGGGATCTAGGAGATTTTACCAAACTACAGATCCCAAGATTCCATGGCTGTTATAAGCAGTATCGAACTGCATTAAGTCTGCAGTGTAGACACAGGCTAGGTCGTCTAGTGTGACTCTGGGGTCAGTATTGATGGAGGTTGAGCACAGAGTCATGCTAGAGGCCCTAGGAACTCATACAGATAATATATAGATCTATATAGCTTTTGCTATCTTGACCATATGCTGGCTTAGCTTGGGGGCACGTGCCCCAGTTTTCATCTAGGACAGTGGTTTTCAACCTGTGGGTCCCCAGGTGTTTTGGCCTACAACTACCAAAGATCTTAGCCAGTTTAGGATTTCTGGGAGTTGAAGGCCAAAACATCTGGGGACCCACAGGTTGAGAACCACTGATCTAGTATATTGGAGGGTATGAGACTTCAGTCTAGCTTTTGAAGGAATTCTCTAAGAGATCTGAACCCAGCCTTCCAAGTATTTATTTATTTTGTTTTATTTACTGTTTATTTTTATTCCACACTTCTCACCCCTAAGGGGACTCAGAACGGATCACAGAACACATATACAGCAAACATCCAAAGCCGTTATACACTGACGAACAGAGACAGACAACTCTACATAGATAGAGGTCTACACAAGCTTTTCCTCATCTTCAGCATCTTGGAGGCTGTGCTTGTTTCTGGCCACATGGGAAGGGGGTGCTGTTGCTCCATCTTTCCTGCCAAAGACCTTCATTCGTAAACTTCCTCCTTGATCAAATTGCTCAATTTTTTCTGGCATTTCCTTATGGGTGCCTTAAATACCTCCCTGCTTTAAAGCAGTACCTATTTATCTACTCACATGATGTTTTCTGTTGCACTCTAGAGCAGGAATAGGACCCTCTAATAATTAATTACACCACACCTTGAATGAACGAAGAGTCCTTTTTATTTGGAGCCAATAAAAGAGATGAATATAAAGTAGGTAGAAGTCCAAAAGCAAAAAGCCCAAAAAGCAGCAACATAAACAGTGTCCAAACATAAGAATAATAACAAAGTTTCAAAAGCCTGCAGTAATAATCCAAATGCAGTGAAATACCAAAAGCCTTCACTGCTAATCCACTTGAAAAGCCAGGAATCCTTACAGATGAGGCCACATGAAACAGGAATATCCAGGAGAGTAGAGCTTGATTCCAAACGATGCCTGTTCTAAAGAAAATTCTTTAAGAACTCAATTTAAGTCTCAAAAACTGGTTCCTACTCGCCCCAGTTTTTGGCTTTAATTGCCGAATTCTTTCTGACCTGCGCAAACATTGGGCCTCTCAATGATTCTGGCTGATTTCCAGACGGCGACTGGTCTTATCTATCTCCTCATTAACTGAAGCAGGTGTGAAACTATCTTGCAAACTCAAGCCTGGAGAAGGGAATAAACTTTCCTGCCTTGCTGTGACAGGAACTTTCTCATGAGAACTTAGCCTTTCCCCTGACCCTTCTCGATCAGAGTCTGCAGTAACCTAATTGTCCAAAGTGCCTCCATTTTGCACCTCATTCTCATTTATCACACCAGGTTCACTATCCAAGTCAGACTCAGAAACATTAGAAGGGGGAAACACAATCACAGAACCAGGCTCCCACACAGAATCAGGCTCAAACACAGGCTGAGTCCCAACATTTTCGATCTGCTAGGTAGGTGGAAACTGGACTAAAGGGCCAGGAGCTCACCCCAATCTGGGCTTCAAACTGTCAACCTTTTGATTGGCAAGATTTACTGCATTTTGAATAGCTCCTTCAAAGTTCTGACTAAAACCAGATTCACCATTCCACCAACATAGAAGCTACCAAGTGCGTTTTCAGGTGCTAGGTGAACTCTTTCCAGGAGTTCCATAATCATGGGTGACAGATGAGAAACCCAACTCTTTTGTAGCTGAATGTTGGCCCCAGTCTGGCCAAGGTCCCATTTGGGCAGGCCCCTAAGGTGGCCCCTAAGGCTGAATCTACACAGCCATATAATTCCATTTGGAATTGTGTTATATGGTCAAGGTAGGCCGATATAATGCACTTTGACTGCATTGGCCTGTATTATATGAGTCTATACTGATCGTATAATTGAACTGGTTTTTATGGCAGTATATCAATGAGTTCCAAGCCATGAAGGAGTTTGCAAGTCAAAAATCGGCACCTTGATGAAAACAAGGGAATATTCTAAAACTCTTGCACTTACCCAAATCTCTGTTTTCCCGTTGTTCTTCTTGCATTTTTCTGCCACCATATTGAGCTCCACAGTTGTTTCTGAGACCATCTCCGCGCTCTTGTCCTTCACAATGATGTGCATGATCCGTCCCTTTCGGATGTGGGCATCGAAAGTGCTGTTCCAAGGGGGGTACATGGTGGGCTTCTTCTGGACATAAACCTGGCCATTATCTGGGATCAGAAATAGCTTTGTCTTGATTTCATAGAGTACATAGAGTACAAGATAGCAGCTAAAGGGGGATGCTGCAACTATCCCTCAAAATAATTGTGTTCAAAGATCAAATTTTCCTTCTGTCCCCAATTTAGGAACTTTAAAGACAGAAGGGCATTTAGAAATACAGTCTAGACATCCAAAGAAAAGGGTCAGAAAAACGTTCAAGAGAATGTGAACACAGCAAATAGGTGTGAACTACATCAGGTCTCCTTATTATGGAGGTTGTTCACTGTAGTTGAGCACCCAGTGGTGCGATGGGTTAAACCCTTGTGCCAGCAGGACTGCTGACTGAAAGGTCAGAGGTTCGAATATAGGGAGCGGTGTGAGCTCCCATCTGTCAGTTCCAGCTTCTCATGAGGGGACATGAGAAAAGCCTCCCACAGGTTGGTAAAACATCTGGGCGTCCCCTGAGCAACATCTTTGCAGACGGCCAATTCTCCCACACCAAAAGCGACTTGCAGTTTCTCAAGTTGCTCTTAACATGAAAAAAAAATTGACTGTAGATATATATGAAGAGCTATGAATACCATAGAATCATGCTGGTTGACTTAGCAGTGCTTAGAGAAGTGTTCTCCTTAGGTATCCAAGGCAATTCAATGGTCAACTTCCATTGACCATAGAACTGAACTGAAGGTTTTCTTTCCTTAGATAGTGTGCCTAGATGAGTCTGGGAGTCGAAGTCCTGCAAACAAGTTTCCCAAACTATTGGGTGAATGAATGTAAAGTGCTGCAATGAGAGTGTCAACAATGGCAGATTACAGGGACTGTTCTACTCCCCTGTCGAAACAGCACCATTGCCTACCAGTTTATTTTTGGGCACAATCAATGCTCTGGCCATGACCTTGTTGCCAGTAATGGGCATCAAGCCAGTCTTTACCCATAATGTAAAGGTAAAGGTTTTCCCTTGACATGAAGTCTAGTCATGCCTGACTCTGGAGGGTGGTGCTCATCTCCATTTCTAAGCTGAAGAGCCGGTGTTGTCCATAGACACCTCAAAGGTCATGTGGCCGGCATGACTGCATAGAGTGCCATTACCTTCCCGCTGGAGCGGTACTAATTGATCTACTCACATCTGCATGTTTTCGAACTGCTAGGTTGGCAAAAGCTGGGGCTAACAGCAGGAGCTCACACCACTCCCTGGATTCGAACTTGCGACCTTTCGATCAGCAAGTTCAGCCGCTCAGCGGTTTAACCCACTGTGCCACCGGTGACTCCTCGTGACCTATAAAATACGACTCTATTCCACTTTGGTCAGAGCCCACCTGGAACACTGTGTCCAGTTCTGGGCACCACAATTCAAGAAGGATGTGGACAAGCTGGAATATGTTCAGAGAGGGGTCGAATATTTGAAATTATGTCACATTGAGATGGAGCAAGCTTCCCACCTTTCTGGTTGCTTCAGGGAGCAATGCATTCCAACTACAGGGAAAGAGATCCTAACAACAACAACAACAACAACAACAACAACAACAACAACAACAATCTCAGCTTGACACTTTCTACCAGCCAGCGCTTCTAACTAGGTACCTTCTAATGAAAGAGGACTTTAAAAGGTGAGCACGAGCACTTAGGATCGAATCCAGGTTTGAACAAACAACCAAAATATTGGCTCCCAATATGTATGGTGCAATATTGTCCCTCTTTATAGCTGCTGTGTCTATTCAACCAGCAGTGTATTAAACTAATTGGAGCTTCTGGCCAGTCTTCAAAGGCAGCTCCATGCAGAGCATGTTGTGGTAATCCAGCTCTGGAAGCTGGTTTATGGAAAGCAACTTTTGCTCCCTGGCAGGAAAGGGGCAACCTGCGGAGTTCAAGCACACCTTGACGGTGCCAGCATGTAAGTGTTGCCAAGGTGGCATTCTTCAAAAGGCACAAAGGTTCAGGTGACTTGTTTGGACACAAACAGCCTTGAAAGAGCTTTTTCTACTTTACTGGGGTCATTAGCAATCAGAAACCTTTCCTTTGAAGCAACGGCGGGAGCAGCACATACCCGCCAGCTCCTGTTCTAGACAGAGATGTAAGGTGAGCAGCAGCTTTAATAAAACATTAGCACCATCTGCACTGCAGTTTAAGATCAGTCCTTCCTCCCAAACACACTGAGAAGGATGAAATATAGCAATGTGCTGCAGAACTGCCCATAAAACCTTTAACCACTCCCTTGAATTCCGCGAGTAGCTTGATGAAGGAGTATAGCAAGCACAACTACATCTGAAAGGATCTCACAGCAGAACATTAAAAGCTTTTCATGTTGGTGATACGTTTTTTAGATGTGCATCTTTTCACAACACAGTAATTCAGTTTTACTAGCTGACTGGAGGTTAAACCAACCCCTTATAAGTTATAACCATGTATAAAGATGTGAGGGGAAGTCATAGGGAGGAGGGAGCAAGCTTGTTTTCTGCTGCCCAGGAGACTAGGACATGGAACAATAGCTTTAAACTACAAGAAAAGAGATTCCACCTGAACGTGAGGAAGAACTTCCTGACTGTGAGAGCCGTTCAGCAGTGGAACTCTCTGCCCCAGAATGTGGTGGAGGCTCCTTCTTTGGAGGATTTTAAACAGAGGCAGGATGGCTATCTGTCGGGGATGCTTAGAATGTGATTTTCCTGCTTCTTGGCAGAATGGGGTTGGACTGGATGGCCCACGAGGTTGTTTCAGTGCTATGATTCTATGATACCTGCAAAGATCCAGACCTTTCAATAAAAAGCATGGATTGTTGAAGAATTTCATGGCCAGAATCACTGGGCTGCTGTGAGTTTTTCAGTCTATAGGGCCATGTATACTAGCTGTCCCCTGCCATTCGTTGCTGTGGCTCGGTCTGTGTATATGTGCTTTGTGTGTGTATTTGTGCTTATATTTATATTTGTGTATATGTGTATATATGTGTTGTCACTAGCTCTGAGGATGTTTGCCATAGATGCAAGCGAAACATCAGGAGAAAATGCCTCTAGAACATGGCCATATAACCTGGAAAACCCTACAACAACCCACTGTATATATGTGTGTTTGTGTGTGTGTGTGTGTGTGTGTGTGTGTGTGTGTATATATTCACAAATAAATAACGTTTTGTTGGATGTCGCTGTTGTTGTTCATTCGTTCAGTCGTCTCCGACTCTTCGTGACCTCATGGACCAGCCCGCATCAGAGCTCCCTGTCGGCCATCACCACCCCCAGCTCCTTCAAGGTCAGTCCAGTCATTTCAAGGATGCCATCCATCCATCTTGCCCTTGGTCGGCCCCTCTTCCTTTTGCCTTCCACTTTCCCCAGCATAATTGTCTTCTATAGGCTTTGCTGTCTCCTCATGATGTGGCCAAAGTACTTCAACTTTGTCTCTAGTATCCTTCCCTCCAGTAAGCAGTGGGCTTTATTTCCTGGAGGATGGACTGGTTGGATCTTCTCGCAGTCCAAGGCACTCTCAGCACTTTCCTCCAGCACCACAGCTCAAAAGCATCGATCTTCCTTCGCTCAGCCTTCCCTAAAGTCCAGCTCTCACATCCGTAGGTTACTACAGGGAATACATGGAACAATAGCTTTAAACTACAAGAAAAGAGATTCCACCTGAACGTGAGGAAGAACTTCCTGACTGTGAGAGCTTTGACTAAGCGGATCTGCCATGATATTCCCTGTAGTAATATATATATGTGATTTTGCACATGAGTTGTAATGTATTTTTAATTTTTTGGGTCTCTTCTGCTGTGTTTTTCAGTTTTTATGAGTGATGGTCACTTGTTGGCCTGATAGGTGTATTGTGTCCAAATTTGGTGTCAATTCGTCCAGTGGTTTTTGAGTTATGTTAATCCCACAAATTGACAATACATTTTTATTTATATAGATAGCAGTATATAACTACAGTATCCAAGTATTTGATTAAGTTCAGACCAAGGACCCCCGGTAGCACAGTATTTTCTGTTGGTCATGGGGACTCTGTGTGGAATGTTTGGCCCAATTCCATCATTGGTGGGGTTCGGAATGCTCTTTGATTGTAGGTGAACTATACATCCTAGTAACTACAACTCCCAAATGTCAAGGTCTATTTCCCCCAAACTCCATCTGTGTTCACATTTGGGCATATTGAGTATTCATGCCAAGTTTGGTCCAGATCCATCATTGTTTGAGTCCACAGTGCTCTCTGGATGCAGGTGAACTACAACTACAAAACTCAAGGTCAATGCCCACCAAACCTTTCAGTATTTCTGTTGGTCATGGGAGTTCTGTGTGCCAAGTTTGGTTCAATTCCATTGTTGGTGGAGTTCAGAATGCTCATTGATTATAGGTAAACTATAAATCCCAGCAACTGCAACTCCCAAATGACAAAATCATATTTTTTTTGCGCGAAGGTCACTCCTTGTGTTGTGAGACATTTTGTTGCCAAATTTGGTGTGATTTCGTTCATTGTTTTTAAGGTACTCATTATGCACAGAGCATACACACACACACACGGGTGTATGCATGTGTGTTTCATATAGTTGTTATTGTATAAATGAGGTTTAGAACTTCTTCCTTTGCACTTCTTATGTACTAGAGTTGATTCTTGTTTAGTTTCCTCTATAGCCACTCCATCACAAATGCCAATATCAATAGATTTTCTTTTCTTAATTAGAAACATATCCACTTTAGTGGTAGTTACTGCAATTCAATCGACATATTGTGCGAATTATAAAAGTTATAAAAGTACCTACACTTGAACAACATCAGCATTCCACTACTGTAGTGATCAAACCTCTCTGAAGGCTTTTAAAGAGAGGCTGCATGGCCATCCAGGGATGCTTTGATTGTGCGTTTTTGCCTGGTTGAAGGGGGTGGTGGTGGACAAGATGCCCTTTGGAGGTCTGTTTGAACCATAGTAAAGTATAGACTGCCTGAGAATTCAGTGGAATCTCCTTCCCTTGAGGTTTTTGCACTGTGTCTTCCTGCCTTACAGAGGGGGTTGGACTAGATGCCCTTTGGGGATCTCCTCC